CTAATTTTACCTCGCGACTATTTGCGACGTCACATTAGCGGGACAGCCTTACGTTTCCGGTATTAATTGAGCGGTCTCATCGGTATGATGCGGCGCCAAAGTCGTAACGTCGCGTCGGATGAGATTCTCGGGGCCGCGAGAATCTCAATGAAAAGTATCAGTAAATTCCCTCGCGTACGGACGATAGCGTGCTGTTGGCGGCGTTTCCTCGGTTTATTTATTCTCGGGTCAAGGGAACTACGTTTCTTAAACACCGGGGTCAAGGAGTCAATGAGATCCGGTTGCTCAGGTATGTAACCGCACAAGTGTTTGCCCGCCGAGTCTCACGGGCGTCTCGCGCGTTCGGTTTTATTCCCTGTAATTTTCCACGGGATTATTCCTCTCGAGCTTCTCCTCTGAGATAATAGATAGAGAAAGAAAAAGTGAAGAGAGGAGAGACCTCTTCTCGTCAATAACCACGCCGCGAAATTATCGCCGTTGTTCTGAATAACGATCGTCGCGATAATGTCAGTATGAGCGGCCGGCTTTTTGCGCGCCGGCAATATAGGTGTGACTCGTCTCTTTTTATCCTTATCGGCATTGTCGACGCGAAGACGTATTAAGCGAACCATACAAGATACCGCGAAGAAACGCGTTGCGTATATTTTTACCACTATTCTCTGGAGTTGACGCGTATTTTGCTCGCTGATAGTAATAAGCTCGTCGTTTTTTTTATCTGTGGCTTATCGCGAAGAAGAAACACGTTGACCACTGTTGGAAAAAAAGCGTTAATGACTATATTGGTAAATATATCGCGAACGTTATTTATTTCACGGTTAAATGAAGGGGGATGATTTTTATTGTCGGCGACAGTTTGTTTTATCCGATGGATTTTCTTTTAATTAGTTTAATGTCTACTGGATTGATAGGAATAAACAATTTTAATTACTTTAACGGATATGTTCCATTATCTCGATACCGCTATCGTTTGGAAAAGATTCGCACAGATTGAAGTATCACGAATAAACAGATATCAACCAAAATTAATGAAGTATGTCTTCTTAACTGTAAATTATTACGCAAAATGATGATTTCTGATTTAATATTAGACTTTTAGATACATAAATGTGTTCTTCTTAAAAGGCTTAATAATTGACAAATTATTTCGGGATGGAGATTATTGTTTTGACTCTTTAAAGTTGATGTTGGGTCAATTATAAATCTTTTTGTCGAGAATTTCAATCTTCTTTATGTTATATCTGCAAAAATGTAAAAATTTGGATTATTGTTATTAAAAATACTTAATATTCATTCTTTTTTATACAGATTGTCATTTTCGTTCTTTGAAATTAATTAGTGCGTCTTTTAATTAATATAAATTGAATGAATTAAAATAATATTTTGCCACTCCAAGAACCAATACAATTAAAATACCTATATGAGCTTCCACGATTATTGATGCGTAAACTATGTATTCAAACGCGATAAGATACAATTCGCAACTAATTAGGATATACTTACCAAACGAAGTTAAGTTTAACGTAAACGTTTCTCTCGACTCTATACTAAAATCTTCTTCAGTGCGGAAATCAAGTATACAAACTTACCTCGTTGCAAATTGTGTCTTATCGCGTATGAATATATAATTTACGCACCAATAACCACAGAGGCTTACGTAGGTATTTTAATCGTATTGGATTTATTCTTGTAGCGTCTCACGCGAATATTACTATTTTATTTTATTTTAATTCAGTTGATTATTTTATTTGTATTAAATTAAATGGATCTTACAGATTCAATGTCAATAATTGTGTTATATTCCGGAGGAATATAAAGAGTTTGATGACTTACGGCCGCTAATGCACATATCGATGACTCGCGTGCGGTCCGAGAATCTTTCTGGAGAAAGATAAGAAAGAGAGAGCTCTTGGTGCAACTGTAGCAGATCGCGCGAGTATCTCGCGAGCAGTTGTCAATGATTCCGCGAGTCCACCCCGCTACCCTCAATTGTCTCCATAGACCTTCCTCGGACGAGTCCCGGGGCGCGCATATCGACGTCGCCTGGAAATTCTACGAAGCGTGTCGCCGCTAGTCCGGTCGGCTCGCTTTTTCTCTCTCTCTCTCTCTCGTTCTCTTTTCTCCTATAATCGAGCGGCAGGCGCAGCCACCTCTCTGTTTTTATTCAACTCGTTCGTAGCGCCGGACATCGGGCGGATTCTTGTCTTCAACAACCGGTAACGAGACTCCGCTACGGAGTCACGAAGCGCGTACGTGCGAGCACGTGAGCCGGGAAGAGCAAGACGGAAGACACAAAGTACGATGTAATCGCGACGACGCCATCGCCTCGAGCGGGATATTCGCTGGGGAAGATTGAGCTGTCCGAGGGACGATATTTGTGTGGCGGCTCCAAATAAAGCCGAACGAATGTGTGGAATAAAAGCCTATGGCACATACAAAAACGTAAGGCAGTAACACGTAAGCAGTAAGCAAATTGGCCAATCATGGTAGAAACTGTAAGACCAGTAGCGAATTCAATGTTATCATTTCCTTACTGCTTTACGTCTTAGGCCGGAATCAGACCACTCATATTAAAAGTTGAGATTGAAGATTGAAGATTAAAGTTTGATTACTGAGGACAAAGGAATTTTAGCTCGAATCCTATCGTGTTGATTGGTCAAATTTAAATCTTTCAATCTTCAATCTCAACACGGAAACAAATTTCTGGTTGTGAAAATGGAGAGACGAATCAAAATTTTCTGGTTAAATTTATTAGAATTCTAGTTGAGATAACCGGAATTCTGGTTAATATAATATCTCTGATAAAATCTACCAGAATTCTCATTTTTATCAGAATTATTATATCAATCAGAATTCTAGCTATCTCAACTAGAATTCTAGCAGATTTAACTAGAAAATTGCTTTTTTATATTTTTCACTGTAATTAGTCAATTCTTACAGATTACGGTATACGGTTATGGCCAATATAAACGCTCCCTTACTTTGCCTTACATTTTTGCCATGGGATTTAGCTCGTGGAAGTTGTCACGAGGCACAGCGATGTCGAAGTGGGCTTTTGAAAAAAAAAGGTGCATTTATGAATAAAGCTTTTTATAAAATGGATGCTTCGAGTGTAATCACGATGCCTGTCGTTTTGAGCAAAATATTCGATTCGAAGGGGATTGAGTCGCTCGAAATAACTCTTGTCAAATTGCAGTTCGAATAAAGTCGAATATATGGCTTTTCTACGGGGCTAAAAAAGAATAATTCAGTCGAATTAGTCAATTAGACAATTATAAATTTAAAGAATAAATCTAATTAAATCTAATTAAATAAAAAAAATCCCTCATTCGATCAAAGTGAATCTTAGTGCTTAAATATTTCCGTACGAATTTATATTAACTTATCTGATTCTGCAAACCATGCAAAAAAAAACCTAAAATTCGTTTTGAGCAAATATAGAATTTCTCTTGTTTAATTAGATGTAATCAATTAGAGTCAATTTATCAGACATCTTTAAATTACCATATTTGTTCCCGTGATCTCGATATTTTGATATCCCTTCTATTTTCATAAAGTTTACAAACATAATTGTAGATATTTACAATTCCAGAAAATTGTCAGAACTATTTTATTGTCTCTACAATAAGAATGTCTACGTATATATGCAATATGTATAAAGTTGCGTCCATGACGCGAGGCATTTACGTAACGCGTAATGATTTCGACGTAAATAATCGGAATACGAGCGCGCAAATTTGTTCGCGCAGCGTTCGCCGGCGCGAGAAAATCGCACGGCCGGAATCATGGTGCACAGGTTAGCGAGTGACCATCACCGTGCAAGTCGAGTACATATAGAGCCTGGGATAGTGGTGGTTGGTCGACCGCCTGTTACAGTGTTGGTGATGACGGTGCTTACGTGGTAGTGGTAGCCGTGATGGCTAGTGGCTGGCGCCGCCGGACGTTCAACAATGGTAGTGCACCCCTTTCCCGCCTCCCTTTTACACTCCCCTCGTGTTCCACCGACGCCGCCAGTCGCATAGTCGTCAAACACCCCCGACTACTGATAGCTTCGAATCGGACCTCACGTGCGATTTTCCAAAGCGAAATCCGATGATCCCCTCCATTCATTATGTGTATTTCTAAATGTGCCGATCTTGATTGTTTCCTCGGCCTTGTAATAAAAAAATTCTATTAAAGTAATATTATTAGTTACTAATAACTACTTAATTACTTAACTAATTAGTAATGACTGCTTAATTATTCAACTAATTAGTTTTAAGTGATTAAGTAGTTATTATTAATAAGCGCTTAATTGTTTTACTAATTAGTGGCGATTAGCAATTATAATTAATAAGTTATTGGTACAGTAACTATTATTTAGCTATTTTACTTTATTAATCAGATGATTAAATCAGTTTTAATTTCAGTCACATATTTTTTATGCGGAACAATATATAATAAGAGCTTTTTTATTATTAAGAATTTTGTAATTATAAAAAGCGGTTTTTAATAGATTTGCGAAAAATTCGTCAATTTTATAAATCTTTGATAATCTTCTGGAACTCTTTTAATTATCTTAAATCTCATTACTTTCACTGTACATAAATTATTTCGAATTTTTTGTTTTTCGATTCTGTCTTTCTCTGCATAAAAATTAAATAAATAATTCTTTCTCATCGAAAGTACTTGCGATAGAGAGATTTTCATGAAACGCAAATTACAAGTTGTACTCTCTGTAAGTCGCATTAAAAATTGGAAGAAATTGGAAAATTCCGGTCGGAGTTATTAAATAATTTCCTAAATTTCTATTCTTTTTTTTTTGGTAGAGAAAATTCTCATTGGAATCCATTCTGACTTGTTCCATAATACGTAGCCAGTCGGTCAACAAGAAGGAGAGATCGCGTGAGGCTCGAAGCCACCGCTACTCCACTCGGGCAGCGATTGCGCCGTACAAATGCTGGAAGCGTCTGGAGGGTATGCGCGGGGAGCCGGGTGGGGCAAGGCTATAAAAAGACGCAGGTGAGGGGCGGAGGCCAGTCGGCTCCGATCTGTCAAACGATCCGTGTACAGTACTCCGCCGGCTGTGCGTTCAGCTCCACTATACAGTCAGTCTACTATATACGCTCGATCGCATCAGTTCGTCATCATACTTGGCGCGTAGCTGTCGTTCGAGGACGATGTGGCTGGTCGGTGAAACTAGTACCAGTGCGTGATCCTGCACGTGGTTCCACACCTGATCGACCAACGAGAGAGAGAGGACGGTCACTCCACGGAGGCGCAAAGCAACGACAAAGTAAACAGGACGCAGGCAGTCCGCTCTTCGCTCTTCACGTGCTGCATTAACGCCTTTGGTGTTCGACGCACAGCTCTTTTCCGGCGATCGATAGGCACACGCGCGGTGGGGTGGTGTGTATGTGTGTGTGCGGTGACGCGCTGTCGTCGAACGATCACCCAGACCCAGCAGCGGCAGGGTGCTCGTGAACGAGGGTCGAGAGGAAAGAGCCGAGCGCCGGATCGATCGATTCCGGCCGTGTAATTCTCTGATCGCCGCCGCTACCTGCATGAAGGCGATGGTGGTTAGCCCGGTGAGCGGCAGAGTGCCGCCCAACCATCGCGGCGTGCTGCACAACGGCTTGGGGATCGGCGGCACCAGACGCGACCTCGAGGCCGAGGAGGTCGCCGCTTACCTCACCAAGCTGCGCTCCCTCGTGCCGGACATGCCGCGCAAGCGGAAGCTGTCGAAGCTCGAGGTGATCCAGAGGGTGATCGAGTACATCTGCGACCTGCAGACCGCTCTCGAGGAGACGAACGCGGCGCATCAGGACGCGAAGACAATGACGACGGCGATGGCGACGGCGACGGCGACGGCGACGACGACGGAGTCGACGGTGACGACGCAGTCGTCCTCGAGGCAACCCCTGCCGAACACCATCACGTCGACCGCCACGACGACCACTACGACGTCCGTCGTAACCGCGACGGTCGCCGATCGGTGACCTGTTGGTCGGACCAACTAGGGTACAGATCGCATCGAGGCCACCCTCCTCGTGGACTAGATGGATCGCTCTGCTCTTCGAAAAGGACGTCCGTCCGTCGATCTACCTTCGATCTGGACAGTCACGGGAGGAGGTATCGATCATCGCCCGGAAGAGAAAACTACCCGGGAGACTACGTCCGAGGAACGCACCTACTATCCGAAGGCGAGAACGTATTTTGATCAAAGAGACATTTTGATCAAAAAAAAAAAAGAGCGAGTCCAGCGCCGGTTTTTACCCTTCTCTTCCGCGAAGGGAAATTGTAAATACATTTGTACATACGCTCATCGCCATTCCACACGAGATCTCTCTCACGGTTATAAGGACCCGGCACGAATTTCCTCTATCCCTCTTCTTTTTCGCTCTCCCCTAGGATCTTATCATTCCAATTTTTCTTTCCTAACCGACCGCGCGACACCGATCGAATCGGCCGCGGGACCAGCGGTTCGATTTCATCGCGATCCCTGGTCTTTCGAGGCCTCGATTGACGGACTGTGGAAGCCCCATACAGCACAGATCGTTCCATCCACACAACGCAGTTCTCTAAAAGATGTCCAGAGGATGTTCTAGGACATCCTGTGAACGTCCTTAGGATATTACTCAGCAATATCGCAGCGACATTGCAAACTTGCTTGCAATAAGTCTGTCGCGTGCGCTTGAAATCGCCCCCAAAATTTTTGCACTTGGAAATAAATAAATATGGAAAAAGCGAGGATGCCGAGTCAGCCGAGTACAAGTCTATTGTTGCCGCAAGTTTCTGTGCTGCATGGGAGGCGACGCGCGTGTTTCCAACTGGCGTTCGTTCTTTGATAAGTTACTTGTTGTGTGACTGGGAAAACTGGATCGACTCTCGAGTCTCCCGACGGCGAGAATCCATCCGTCCTGTTCACATCGTCGATCGTATCGTAACGCGATATCGCGCGTCGAGTGCGGCAACACGCGCACGCGTTCGAATACACTGACAATGAGCGCTCGCAAAACGTTCGTTACACTCGAGTCAATTACATAGCCGCCCCGCCCAACTAGTTTCGCCGATCGATCGCCTTTTCTTGCCGGAGGTCCTTCCTTCCTGGAGAACGCGCCTCGTCGCCGCGCGACGACAAAACGGAAGATTTCTTCTGTTCCTCGTGAAGTCGATGATCGACGAATTTTGGATGTCGGAGACGCGAGCGAGATGACGATCGATCGGGATTGGCTACAATTTCGCGGCGAGCATGCGAAATCGAACTCGACGAGGCGATTAGGCGAAGGGTCTCGTTTATTTTCTCATCAAAGTTTTCGCGCTCTATCGCTGCTATTGATTACTGTATAGTTATCTCACTGTCGTTGTTATAGCCTCTTATATTATAATTTAGAAAGTGCTGAAACTCTCCCGCCCTCCCCCCCCCCCCTCTCAACCCGCGTAAATATTGTATATTTGCAAAGACTGAAAGGCTGTAAGTACATCATTGCGCGGGCGTACTGCACTCGTACACACGAAAAATAAATACAAACTGTGTCTATACGTTAGTTTCGTGCGTTTGTTTTTATCCTACGAATACAGCGTATTCCTGTTCCCTCGTGGCTTTATCCTATCTCGATCACGCAAATAAGTTGGCTAATGCCCGTTTCTATCAATGTAGAAATGCAGTGATTAACTTTAATCTTGGTTCAATTTACTCTCTCTTCATCTTTTTCTAATTAAATTTAAATTGCATTGACAGAAACGGGCATAAGGCTTGGTTCCATCATGTAAGATTAATTTTAATCTCAGTTTAACTTATTGTTTATCTTTTTCTATTTCTAAAAATAAAAAAGTAAACAGCAAGTTTCCTTTCGTAGAAATGGATACGATTTCTAAATCTTAGAATTAGAAAAAGATAATATTGAACCGAGATAACAGTTAATCTTACATGGTGGAATCAGGCCTGATGTTCATTTCTATTAACGTAAATTAACTCCAATAAATTAAAATCTCAATTTAATTTACTGTTCACCTTTTTTCTAAGAACTATAGAAAAGGCTAAAGAATAGATTTTCTTAGAATTAGAAAAAGATAAAAGGTAAGTTGAATCAAGATTAATTTCCATTGGCAGAAATAGGATTGGTAGAAATAGAACGGGAGTAAATAGGAAATAATTATATGGTAATCCCTTAAAATGTACATCTTAGAGAAATCAAACATTGGGAACATCAGTAACGAAAATGGGAAATGATCGTTAAAATTAAGAGCTATAATTCAAAAGTAAAGGCGAGATTTGTCGAAAATTTTTTTTTTAAGATATACTATTCAATTTTGAGACATTTTCTATACATTCACATGTTCGATATACTAAAGAAAAATAAAATTATACTAAATAAGAAATAAAATTTATTATTCGTACATTTGTGAATTTTATTTAAAAAACTTGGGGCTTCTCGTTAACTTGACTAAAAAAGATTAAATGATATACTTTTTAGTTGCTATAAAATTAAAATTTTTAATAAATATAAATACACGTTCATTATTTATAAATTAAAAATAAAAGACATATTTATGTATCTCTTTAAATTTTCTAAAAGTAAGATTGAACTTAAGAGAGAAGCAGTCTGATGCTCTTTCAGTGTCGTTCATGAGACCGTAAATCTGTGAAGATTCAACGATATCGGGAACGGAAGCCGGATGGTATGAAGGGATAGAGAGAGAGAGAGAGAGAGAGAGAGAGAGAGAGAGAGAGAGAGAGAGAGGGAGAGAGAGAGAGAGAGAGAGAGAGAGAGAGAGAGAGAGAGAGAGAGAGAGAGAAGGGACGGGAGGGTTAAATAAGCGCACGTGCGCGCAACAATCTACGCACACGTGCGAGGAGGGATGATGGTCGTTCGCCGTCGCCATCGGTCTCGTCGGAAGGCGAAGGATGTGTGTGGATTGTACAAGGGCGACACGTCGTTCCAGTGGGGTGTAGGAGTTCGCAAAGTCCGTATTGATCGTCTTCTGACGCGGGTCACGTGCGCGTTCCTGGGAACGCTCGATCCGGGTTATACCCACGGGAACCGACCCCACGGTCCTTCGACATTCTCTCTTTCTCCCTTATCTCCCCGCCCTTCCTCTTCCACAATCGCTAGCGTCCGCTCTTCGTTCCCCTCTTCGAGCGAATGAACGAGGGGGTGCATTCATTATTCCTCCGAGGATTTGGACAATCCTCTAAGAGCGTTCAACGTCTAAAGATATTAACCCTTCATGCTCTTGATCTTCTCGTACTTTATGTAACATGAAGAAATATCTTAAGAGAATATCATAGTAGATCTGCAAAATTTAAGAAAATAAAATCACTGTAAACTTGTGGAGTTAATTATTCTATTCAAACATTATTGTTTCAATAATCTAGTAAATTTGAAAGGAATTAAAATCAGAAAATTTTCATAATTGTATTTGTACTTCATCATCATAAAGGATTTAATTCGACTTCAAATATTGGAATCTATAGATTGGTAGATTGATTGCATCTGTAGATCAAACCAAAAATATTGAATAAAATAAATAGTTCTTGTTCCAATTTTGCGCCATTTCTAACAGACAGATAGAGGGTGAAATATATCTTCCGACGCGGGGGTAGTGGGCTACACTCGGTAACAACTGCCGGCTGATGACTGCCAACAAGCACGCTGATAATGAAACTGAAGGCTGACTCACTACCGGGACCATCTTCCTTCCTTGTCTCGAATCGGCACGTGCGACCATCGAACGCGGGGAATTACGTTCTATGACGGTCGACATGAAAAATGTCGGGACATCAAGTATAAAAAGCGTCCACTTTCGTTTTTATTCTTCGAAGCAATTTTTCATTTTGATGGTGTCCCAGATAATATGTCCGCAATCGGGACATAAAATCATAAGAGAGATGTCTTTAAGATATTTCACATTAACTAGCAAATTTTGATTGATTTTACACTTTCATAAAACACGTTTAATCGTCTCTCCTTCCGATAACTGCGATACACTTTCAGAACTTTAGTAAGTCCAAATCTTGGTCCAAATTGAAAGACTAAAATCCGCAAAATCAATATATGGCAGGAAATACAAAAACATAGATAAATTACGAACAAAGAATTATCGTATCGAGAACAAAAGCTGACGCTAGCTATTTTTCTCTATTACGCGTGAGTACAAGGCAAATGTATATTTATTAATATATGAGGTAATTATGGCACTCTCTCATATTGCATTTAACGTTAATACGTGAAATAAACAATCGTCTATTATATAGACTGTAGACTGTAATTTGTACATATTATGGGGTTATTTACTATAAGTTTTGTATAGAATTATAAGGCTAGTGCGATCATTACGAAACGGAGTATTTTAATTCTCTGTTATCAGTAACACATAATGACGAAACGCAAGAAATATCTGAAAAGTGTCCAAGAGGCATTTAAAAATTTTAAAGCGTCTCTGTGACGTTTGCAAATCTTTTAAACATTTTAAAAATTTGGAATTTTCTAAACATCTCTACATCAAAGTTTAAAATTTCTTTATAATATACTCCATTTAGACACGATATTTAATATAATTACCTACTTTAAATTTCAAGATACAATTGTTTAAATTAGAATACCATTGAAATGAAAACCATTCCATGAAATAGTTAAGTCACATCGGTTAAATAAATAAAAATGCATAAACAACTTCTTGTTGAATGATTCATCAAAGTTTAACGTGTGTTTATTTTGACAAATGGAACTAATAGCTCTCTTTCATAAAAAAAAGATGTTATATAATATGTAGTTTTTTTACACGAATACTGGTATATATTCATTTACGTATCGAGAGCATACCTTTGAAAATGGCTCATGTAATATACGAGTAAAATAACAATACAAAAGCAATCAACCGCATGAGCCTTCAGTCCGGCTCTTTTTAAATTATATCTATGTATATAGAAATCATATTTTAAACAGATTTTGTATATTTTAAATATTGCTGTAGAGGGCAGGGTTGGTAAAAAAAACATGTTTTAAACGTGTTTTAAACAGTTTAAAACATTCTTAATTGATGTTTTTAATGTTTTAAATTTTTTTTTATAGTACTGTTTGAAGCATTAAAAACATATTCAAGAAGAAACACAATATATTTTATTCTTAAAAAAAAAAAAAAAAAAAAAAAAACAGTGTCTTTACCAACCCTGGTAGAAGGTTATTGACAAACTAAGTTTTGATATAATATTGTTTCTTCTCATATAGTACATGAGAGATATCAAAGT